TGAACTGACTATTCTTCGGACTGCATACTCAATCCTCAGTTCATCATTTTAACCACACACTCGGAAACACTGACACTTGAGAATAATCATTTGGACAGTTGGGGTTTAATAGAAGGCACATCGTTAGTTTACGAGTTTAGATATTGATCAAAGACAAAAGGTAATAAACGACTAAGGGATTCTTTAGGTAGGTTCAGCCACATTTAGTGATATGGTGAATAACAATCATCCACTACAATGAGTGAAAATATCAAAATACCGAATTTGATGGCTAACAAGTGCAGCGCACCGAATGGAACGGAGTGCGCACAGATTCCCATGGTCCTTACTCAACCCAGCTGGTCCTGCACACTCGGTTTGTTATTCGGCTGCTAGTGACANGACAACGAGGAATAGCCGTAAAACGCCATACAACGGACAGGGTTGAATAAGCTGGTAGGTGAAGAAAATATGCCATTAAACGCTTCGTTTTTTTCAGTGTGATTTAGTTCCAATGAAAATACGATTGAATGAAATGTCGCATTTGGGGAAAAACACTGGATGATTGTGCATTTTCTCAAAATACAGTGATTACAGCGGGTAATATTCGGAACATATCGTAAAACGCTAGAGAGATGATGGAATAAAGTCGTTGTGGTGTTTACACGGACCTGAGAAGCAATCTCCAAAAGTTTTTAACTGGTTCAAAATTAGGAAGAGACTTCTGAAAGGTAAGAACGCCTTTGAAAACGCCATGAAAATTGTAACTACCAACAAAATGAAGCGCTCTAGTGTGCCTGCGTAGACCAACGCATTTTGGTCATGGTATGATATTTATCTGCAGACAAAAACTGGTGATGGGAAATGCAACAAAGCTGATTGTGTAAATTTACCTTGTTTTTCATGCCTGATATCTTTCCTATAGCAAGTCCGAATTGTTCAGACAAATTTAATGTTCAACTTTGTAATACCACTAACTATCCCTTATTTTCATTAGTGCATCCTAGCAACAGAATACTTTAAAAATGTTAAATTAGAAGATGATGCGACGAAACTGACTGTTGAATGAGGAAAATTTGTGCAAACGACCGGAAGCAAATCTCTCTTTTTACTGCTCTAACACTATAGTTACCACTTAGAATCCGGATTGAAGAAATCAAAACTTCATTGATTCACGAAAAACTCACGACCTTGGACGTTTCAAACGTCCTCGAGAGAACTTCCAAGAAGCTTTCTTTTCTATACCTCCATGAGCATACCAGTGTGCTTCTGACTTAGGCGTTGTTATAGCTTACAGCTGACTGATTTGTGTTCATACATGACTGTGGTCAAATTGATTGATCGATCGATCGGTTGATCGACTAACTGACTGTTTGAATTCTGGCTTGACGGCTTCGCATTGAGTGAAACGTGTGAGCCGAAGTAGGCCTGCCTGCCTGCTTTTCTACACGCTAATCGTTACTACTTGTACCCCCCCCCCATTTGTATACCGGTTACATATTTGCTGTTTACAATAAACTTACTGCTTCATTCGTTGTGTGCTCATTTGCCTACTTGATTTGGGACACAACAGGCGTACAAAAGCTCAGAGCTCGTTTTGCTACTGCTGTTGGTGACAAAACACCACCCCTGACATTTTGAAAACAGAACGGGCAA